ATGTAGGTAGCCAACAATGATCTGCCTTTAGGAGCAGGAGTCCATCCAAATCTCCAGGAAATTTTCCCTAAAGTTCACCCGAAATCTACTCCTTTTGATTCCACCCTGGAAGTCAGCAGTGTCCATCTAGAGAAGATGGAGTCAAAAGAATCAAGATGGTGGCTGTTTTAAAGGGCATCACATATAAAGGTAAAAATCAGCAGAACTTTGACTGCAAATCATGGCACAATCTATCGGCCATCTTGACTTTCTTTGAACTCCCAGCCTGTATCCTGAAAACAGTTCTCTTGATTATTTTGAACAATAATTTTATTAAGGATGTTATACAGAGATCAAACAAAGAAACTCATTAAAAACGTGTGTGTGAATATACGAATAAGACAGTATGAAAAAAGAACAAATCCCTCCTGAAAAGATAGGAAACTCCCTCTTCATTCTAAGCCAGCATATTCAGCATCAACACTTTCATCCCTAAATTAAAACAACCAGGTGCATCTTCATTCCATCCCTCACCCCATTTTCTCCTCTCTAAAGCTTCCGTTCTCCTTTTTGATCAACAAAGGGCTAGTAAGAATTAACAAAAAATACCCGGGTGCCTTGACTTAATGACTGTAACGATGTCCATTGGCAGTTATGGACATATAAAACCTGCAGCCTGAAAAACACATCTACTCCCCATATCTACTCTTTTGTATAATCATTCTCGTGAGTTACTAATGTGGCTGTGTGAGCAAAAGATCCTCACACTCCTTGTGCCCTTTTGCCTCATTGTGTACTCTCTGATGGGGTTTGAGGTAGTTTGGCTAGGAAAAGTGCATTCTTCGCACCAAACAATTGTAGGATTTCCCTTCTGTGACTATCTGATGTTCCTGGTGAAAGATAAGGACTTTCTGAGGCATTTTTAGCTGTGATTTACAATGAAAATGTCCCTCATGCTCTGCACACTTGTAAGGCCAATCTCTGGTGTGATTTGGGGAGTGCATGCAAAGTTCTGGAGGTTGGGCAAAACATTTCCCACACTCCAGTCATGTGTTTTTTTTCCTGGTGTGGATTCGCTGATGCTTCGAAAGATTACTTTTCTGAGAAAAACATTTATTGCACTCTGAGCATTTATGGGGCTTCTCTCCTGTATGGATTTGGCTGTGTATTCTAAGGGAAGATGAATTAGCAAATGCTTTCCCACAGTCCAAACATTTGTTTTCCTCCATGTGAATTTTCACATGACTTCTAAGGTCTGATGAAGTACGATAAAATCTTCCACATTCACTGCACTGATATGGCTTCTCCCCTGTGTGGGTTTTACGGTGTCTCCAAAGTACTTGCTTATAAGCAAAAGATTTTCCACATTCTAGGCATCTGTAGGGCTTCTCTCCTGTGTGGACCCTCTGATGGGTTCCAAGGTGTTGTTTTTGGGAAAAGCATTTCCCACACTCCCCACATTTGAAGGGTTTCTCCCCAGTGTGGCTTCTCTGATGAATCTGAACTTCGGCTAGGTAAATGAAACTTTTCCCACACTCCCCACATTTGAAGAGCTTCTCCCGTGTGTGGTTTCTCTCATGCCTCTCAACATCACTTTGTGCAAGAAAGCCTTTCCCACACTTTCTACACTTATAGGGTTTTTCTCCTTTGTGTCTCGTCTGATGTTTCCGAACAACAGAAGAACGCACAAATCTTTTCCCACATTCTGGACATTCGTAGGGTTTCTCTCCAGTGTGAATTCTCTGATGTCGGATCAGGCACGACTTACTGCTAAAATATTTCCCGCATTCGAGGCATTTTTCATTTTTCTCCCCTGTGTGTGTTTTCCAATGACGCCGAAGACCTGAACTCTGGGTGAAACATTTTCCACACTCAAAGCACTTGTATGATTTTATTCCTGCATGGATCTTCTCATGGGAACAAAGACCTGAACTCTGGGTGAAACATTTTCCACACTCAAAGCACTTGTAAGATTTTATTCCTGCATGGATCTTCTCATGGGCCCAAAGATTTGAGCTCTGAGAAAAGCTCTTCCCACATTCCCAACACTTGTAAGGTTTCTCCCCTGTGTGGATTCTCTCTTTGGTGTCTTTTCCAGAGAAGGATTTCTCGCCCTCCAAACCTTGACTGGATCCACTTCCCACATGGACCTTCCTGTGGGTCAAAAGGAGGGACCTGCGAGCAAAGGATTTCCCACACTCTGAGCATTCATGAGGTTTTTTGTGTTTTTTTGGAGTGCTTCTTGTGTCTGA